TCAAAACAAAGCCTCCAACGCACAGAAGAAAACTGCAGAATGAAAAAAAAAAAAAAAATTAGCTTTCATTTTTATTCATTTTGCGCATTAGCTTTTTTTCTCTTAAATCTGATTAGCGATTAATTTAGATTTTATTTAACAAGTGCATTAACTTTTTTCATTCATTTTACTTCAGTCATGTAGGTGATGTTACTTCAGTCATGGTAGATGATAAATATTGTAGGTTTTATATTAACAGGTGCAATACTATTTTTGCTCGTTTTTCTTCAGCATGATAGTTTGTAATTATTTTTTTCTTCTAATAAGAGCTTGTTTATAAAGCTTTAAGTGCATCCGTGATATTTGTAAGCCACTAAAAGTATTACGTTTTTTGTTCCATCGTAAGTGTTTGTTGTAGGCAACATGTGTTCATTCTATTGAAAAAAATATTTGTTTAATAAAAAGTTCTTACTTTAATTTGTCATCACTTTGAACTCGTCTACATTAAAGCCTGTAACATAATGCATTTCAGTTTCGATACGTGCAAACAACTGCAATTGCTAAATCAATATAATTTTCTACTTTTCTTATCTGGAATTGGTCAGGAATAAATTGGTGAAATGCTTTAAAAGTTCTATTAAGTGTACCCCCGATTATATTTGAAAGCCTGCTTCCAAGTTTAATCCGGGGTACAATTTATAGTACTAAAGGCCTGCATAAAAGCATACTAAAATTCTGCTCAGAAGTGTACTAGAAGAAGTATCCTAAAAGGATGGCGAAATGTTACTTCTGAAGTGCGTAAGAAGTGTACTAAAATGCCTCTTACAGGCATACTTAGAAGTATCCTAAAAGTATAGCGAAATGTTACTTTTGAAGTGCGTAAGAAGTATACTAAAATGCCTCTTACAGGTATGCTTAGAAGTATACTAAAAGTATGGCGAAATGCTACTTTGAAGTGCGTCAGAAGTATACTAAAAACCGGCCAATTTAGAGCATCAAGCATACTTCTGGAAGTGCAAATAAAGTATACTCTAAGAGCCCCGGTTTTTCGCTAAGGGATTCCAAAATAGTTAAGAGAGGCATAGTGAGGACATGCCTGAAATCATCACTTGAGAAATCTTGTGCTCACACAGTTCAGAGTAGCTTTGATTCACAGGCCCAACGTTTGTTGAGAGCAGGATTTCCACCTTCCATCATAAGGGCGGTAGCAGAGTCTATGTTGAAGGCTTGCGTATGCGGGCTAAGGAAACAATGGGTCACTTGGAGGGACCAAAAAAATTTGAGGTCATGCCATATATACACGGGGTTTCTCACAATTTAAAAAGAGTCGCTACTAAGTTCCAAGTAGACGTGGTTTTTTCAGCCCTGTGTAAGCTCTCCCGGGTATGCGCCTTAACCTCAGAGCGGATCGCTCACAAGGATGGTTGCAACACCATGCATTACAACCAGTTCGTGCCTTGATCAACGGGGGTGGTTTTCCACGTCCCGTTATCTTGCGGGAAAGTATATATCGGACAGACGGGTAGATGTCTAAATGATAGACTGAGGGAACACGGAGCCTTTTTGAATTCAGCAAGCGGAGCGCACCTTGCCCTACACTGTAAAGAATGTGGGTGTAAACCAAATTTTGGTGCCACTGAGATAAAAGGTCGCAACAAAGACAAACTCACTAGGGAAATTTCTGAGGCGGCCCAGATTTCCTACAGTGGAAGTGACAAGTGTGTTAGCGCACCATCTATTTCATTATTAGACAGAGAATTAGGTTTTTTGTTTACTTCCCAGTTCCATCGCTCTTCTCTCGCTCGCGCTCGCCATCGTCCTCGGTTTCCTCGCTATCCCGCTCGCGTTCACCACCGTCCTTAGGTTTTCTGCCCTCAGCGTGCCCATTCGAGCCAGTGATAGCGCATCTCAGCGGCCCACATGTACATTGCATTCCTTCGTTAAAGGAAGTGAAAGATTAAAAATTCAGTTGTAAGTCTGCGCCTGTGTTGTGTTGCTCGCTCCTTTCAATTGTGTCCCGTCTTTTTTGCGGTTTTCCATCTTAACCCTTTCAGTACCGTAATAATTTTTCATGTAACATCCTCAAAATCCGGAATTATTTTATTCATGCAACCTGTTCAGCCTAGTCCGTAGAGCACAATCATATAAAAAATTTTATCAAAAGCACAGCATAAATGGACAAACAATATTTTTATAAATGTTAAGAAGGGGGCTTCACTGCACGTAAGTGGAAAAAGTGGGCTTCACTGCACATACTCACTTTATTTTATTCATGAATTTACAAAGCAATTCTGTCAACATCAGTACCTAGTGTCTCTGTTCACGAGACTACGGGCTTAGTCAGTCCCAGGACATCCCGTTCAAAAGTTTGCCTTTGTGTGATATGTGCGAAAACACTGTATCGCACACAGAGCGACACCACAGTCTGGGCACCACGTCCTTGTTTCCTTGCGAGCTTTTTTTTCTTGTGCAGACAATGCATCTTCTTGTTGGGCTCTCTTTCTTCTCAGTTGGAGGTAGGTAGTCTGGGAAGTGTCGCTGAGTCAGTCGTGAGAGAGTGTTGTCAGAGAGCCTCCCTTTCTTGGGAGGCTCTCTGACAGGCTCACTAACTTGAGCCTGAACTCAAGATGTGTGGTGGTGTTGCCACTCTTCTGGTAGATAATGAACGCATTGTAGATGGCCATGTCTAGCAGATGACGGAACACCTTTTTGTAGTATATTTTCTGTCCATTTCTTGCACAGGGGTAATATGAAAGATTTTGGTCACTCTTGTCAACACCACCCATGGTGTTGTTTTAATTCATCACTATCTGTGGCTTGGACGCAACTTCACCTCTCTGGTTTGTTACATCCACCATTGCCACAGAGTGCACCGTGCTGAGGAAGGTTACCACCTTCTTGTCCTTCCACTGAAGTGAGAGGCACTTGCCTTTTTGGTAAGCTTCAGTTTGACCTTTCTCAAGTTGTCTTGTATCGAAGCTCGGCATTCCCTTGCGTCCAGATCGTGCTGTCCCGTAGACATCTGTCTTGCGCTCCAGAAGTGCTTCAACTAGTTCGGGTGAGTTGTAATAGTTATCCACGGTTACACAGTAGCCCTTATCGAGAAGGGGACTCATCAGGGACAATACCACACGTGTACCCATGGCCACATCTGCGTCACCAACAACAGCACCTTTCCCATGTACATAAGCATGTTCCAGATGTAACCACTGGAGGACTCGCACAGCACGAAAAACTTGACGCCAAAACGGGCACGTTTCAGTGGCATGTACTGTTTCCAAGACAGCCTGCCTTTGAAACGAAGAAGGCTCTCGTCAACTGACACATCTCGCTCTGGTGTGTAGAGAGTTTGAAACATCTCGGTCATTCTTGTGAGCACGGACCACAGTTTTCTAAGCTTTGGGTTAGGGTGCTTGTCGACTGGCGCCTCGTTGTCAGTGAAGTGTAGAAATTTCATTATCAGCATGAAGCGGTCGCGGCTCATCACGTCTCCGAATGCAGGCGTGCAGAGAACCTCTCTTGTTGACCAGTAAGATTTCACGTCTGGTTTCTCAATGACCCCTGCAGAATGATGAGCGCGAAGAAGGTCATCAGTTCTTTTTTGTCGATCTGTCTCCATGTTTTGAGGTGGGAAGCGTGGTGCGACCGAAGAAACTGGGTTGCGTAGCGGTTGGTCTCTGCGACAATCAGGTCGACCAGCTCTTCATCGAAGAACTGTTCAAAATATTCGACAACGCCGTCACCTTCTTCCAGGTGGCCCTTGAATCCCGGTGATCCCACAAAAGGGAAACGAGGTGGCGCACGAGGAATATCGCCCACGTCGATCTTCGTCCACACACGTGCGGTGTCGAAATCATCATCAATCTCTGTGTCGCTCTCATCTGAAGTCAAATAATCAATCAACGACTCACCAGAATCACTTTCCAATTCGTAGTCGCTTTCACTCGAAGAAGTTTCAGAAACTGCGCGCTGTTTCCTTTTTTTTTTCCTTGTTTCGCAACGCGTGGACACACATCGTGCGGCCGCCCGGACGACGCCATTTCTAAAGTTCAGTGTAGCCAGCAGCCTCACGAAAAAACGTCTAAATTCAGCTAATTTCACCGGTTTTGACTTCTCCTGCCATCTGTCGGTCGTTCTAAGAAGCTCCGTGATACAGACGAGCTGAATTCGTCCTCAGGATCGTTGTATTGATAATGCGGACTCTGGACGAGCTGTACTCGTCTTCAGGATTATTTGTGCGTAAATGGTGGACGAGCTCAGCTCGTCTTCCGTACTGAAAGGGTTAAACATGTATAACCAACTAGGCCAACAGAGTACTCTACTCCTCATTATTTGCGTGGCACTTATCCCCTTTTGGTCCTTCTATATCTGTGTACTGTGGTATTACGCAATCAGAAAACAATGACTGTTTGGTTCACCCTTGAACCTACACGACAGCAGACTAGTACCTGGATGAATTGCGATGTGACCAGTGGAACTGGTAGTTTTTAATACAAGTTGTGTCACCTGACATAAGCAGCATGAACTCCCATGTGCAAGAGGTCATATTCTGTTGTTTGCGTTTCTGTTTATCCCGGTAATACAAATGTGCTCGCTGTTGGTGGTTCCATCGCGGCGCCACATGTTTTAAAACCAGCAGCGTGCTTTGGGCAGCTGTGAGTGGAAATCAGGGAGCATTTGTGGTAGAGCCATATCGATATGATATGGCTCTACCACGTAAATGGTGGACGAGCTCATATGCTCGTGACCATGGGGTCTGGCATCTTTAATGCCTTTGCGTTTTAAGTCAGGTTACATGTCTTCCTTGACAGTACCGTTTTATTTCACGTTTTCCTCTTCAATGTGTCCAGAGTGTTCCACTGTAGTTGCCTTCACATGTGCTTTCTTCTCTTCTAAGCAGTTTGTTCCAATTTAGAATGTACACCGACTGCTTTTAGCCTTACTCCAGTAAATAAATATTTACTAGACTGATCTAATCAAAACAGGAGGAGGGTGACCAATTGTAAACTTTTCCTTTTTAGCGAGTGGTCTCACTGGGACCAGCTCGTCGGAGCAAGGTAAGCCACATTTTCGTATTCTTGTAGAAGTCATACTTTGCTTATTGCTTGGTTGCATTGAAGTCCAAATCAGCAAATGATAAAAGTCGCAATGTTTCAGTTGAGAGGTCTTCGTGCTGGGCAGCAGCTCTCAAAGTGATTACTTCGAAACTCCTTGGTCGAGCAGATCATTCTTTGGTTCCATCAGCACCCACATCGATCACCCTCTCACCCTAACGTTTTAAGATTGAGAAAGACCAATTTCGCAGCTCATTCTAATATCTGTACTTTTTCAGTTCTGCTATCATTGCAATAGAGCTCACGCAGGTTGGTTTTTAAACTCTTCTATTCTTACTGGTATAATGCCCGGTGGTCAGCATTATGGTTCACGGAGACAGGGGAGTTCGCAAACCCTAGCAACAAACTTTGTTGCTGGTTGCTAGGGCTTGTGAGATGACAAATTGTGAGAGCCTCTGGTCTGGGGGTTACTAGCAACTTGCCAAAATATCCCCCTCCTCTTTTCCCCGATCTTTAAGTGGCAACAACTTTTGGTAAAATTGTTGCCAGCTTGCATTGTACTTGGAGTAGAAGAGCTGAAAAGTCAGCCTGGAAGAAGTCTGTTGCAGTGGTAGAATGAAGAAAACAGTAAGCATATTACTCCAAAGGTGAACATATTTGACAGAATTCTGTCTGGTTGGGTAGAAAATCGGGAAAAAAAGAATTTGCCTACCAAATGTGGAAAAGATCTGGAAAAAGATAGTCCCAACATTTCGAAACTATTTGTTTTTTCTTCAGGGGATGAATAATAATAATAATACTTTTATTGAATGAAAAAATAGCATGTACAGATTGAGGCCTACCGAAGCCTCATCGGGCTTGAAAGGTAGTGCCTGGCAGACAGTGACAAAGTAAAGCAATGACAGTAAAACACAAAAACCCCACATAGATAAATCAAGCTATGACACACACAGAAAAGAAATCTTTATACAATTCTATTTCTGAGCGCTTTTTTCAGTTTGTATTTTGTACTAGCACAAAAAATACTCATAGGAAGCTTGTTAAAATACGAGGGAACATAGTAACGGCGCATGCGTTCGCCATATCTTGTGCTGCACCGAGGTATACAGTAACGTTTTTTTGGCCTTAGGCAACGGGCTGGGGCATAAGGTACTTTAAAAGAACTATTCCAGAAATGACGAAAAAGTACAGTTTCTATCAACAGAGAGTTGAAATCCGGAAAGCATAATGCTCTAAATACGTCAGTATCTTTATCAAGACTTAAATCATAAGAAATAACTTTTAACAAAGAACGCAAAATTGAATTGATTCTTATTTTCCATCAAAGGGCACAGTGGCCGTACACAGTTATTCCATAACGAAGCACACTATAGCCCAGGGCATGAATGATAACCTTACGAACGGATAATGGCATAACGTATCTAACACTGTACATCAAACAAGACACCGCGCGAAGCTTCTTACAGATATGAGCGAGCTGTGAATTCCAGGCAAGATCGCTATCAAAAATCAAACCAAGGTATTTAACTGTAGATGTGTAATTCACAGGGGTACACGCGCAATTAAGACAATTAGACGTGTGCAAAAAAAGCGGAGAAGTGAGACTGACTCGTTTTAATGGGCTATGAAAACAAATTAGTTGAGTTTTTGTCGTATTAATAGAAATTAAATTTGCATCAAACCAGTCCATTTCCCTATTTGCCGCATTTTGAAGCAAAGAGATTGCGTGCAAATACTTAGAAGCGCAGGCTACAATTACAGTATCGTCCGCATATTGAAATATTGAAGTGGGCACGGTACTAGAAAGATCGTTCACATAAATATTAAATAATAAAGGACTAAGTACTGAACCCTGCGGAACACCAGCTTTAATTATCGAGAAGTTACTTCGAAATTGTTCAATCGAAACACATTGGCGCCTATCCTGAAGAAAATTTTGTAACAGCAATAAAAAGGAACCGCGAAATCCCACCATTGACAGCTTATTTAGCAACAGACGGTGACATACACTATCGAATGCCTTCCTGACGTCTAGAAATAACGCGCACGCGACTTGATTCCGCTCAAACGACGAGTTCAGCAAATCAGAAAAATCTTCAAGTAACATTTGAGTGCCTCGACCTTGCACGAAACCGTACTGAGAGGGCGACATAATACGATGCTTATCCAAAAAGCGTGTCCTGACCAAGCACAAGTGTTTTTCTAACAGCTGAGCAATACCTGGTAAAATTGAAATCGGACGATAATTTTCAATATTATTTCGCGCTCCAGCTTTGAAAAGCGGGATAACGATTGCCGTTAAGGATAAAGGATGTCAGTCTCTTCATCTTTTAGGTGTTACATCACTTTGTCTTTGTCGGTGTTGTTGGGTTAGCTTCGTCGTGCCCTATCCGTTATCCCATTGTGGAGGCCGTTCACATATAACGTAGGAAGTGTCCCTAGTGACCTATTGATGATGTTTGAAGTGTGTTGAATATGCCATGATTCAATGAGCCGCCTCCTACGTAGATTTGGTGCCGTGTCCAGGATGCTTGCGTTCTCAAATGCGGTGGTCGAGGTTATCACAGTGTTCAGCGAAAGCACTGCGCTCTTTGTCAAAGTTTCTCACATCGTTCTTATGTTGGTGAAGCTGGTCGTGAAAGTTCTTTGTTTCGCCGATGTAAGAGGCAGGGCACTGGGAGCATGGGATCTTATAAATGACACCTTAATTGGGCCTTCGCCTTCGGTGGTCTGTTCTTAGGGCGAGGTAGAAAGCATCCGACACTGGTTTGTGAGCAACCAGGACGTGTTCTTTTGCAAACAGTCGGGATAGCATCTCGCTTATCCCTTTCTTGTAAGGGATGCTAATCCGTGCTATCGGTTTGGAAACTATCTAAGGTTGTTTCATCCAATTACGGTTCTGACGACGGATGACGTGGTGAATGAAGTTACCGGGGGAGCCGTTCTTCCTTAGGTCGTCCATGATAATCCGTTCCTCCTTTCTTTTGTCGTCCTCAGATGAGCACAAGGTGTTGGTTCTGTTAAAAAGAGCAGAAACGACACATACCTTATGGCCGACAGGGTGGTTGGAGTCCTCCAACCATTACCTCCAGTTCGACTCCACCCACCGTCGGCCATAAGGTATCTGTCGTTTCTACTCTTTTTAACAGAACCAACACCTTGTGCTCATCTGAGGACGACAAAAGAAAGGAGGAACGGATTATCATGGACGACCTAAAGAAGAACGGCTCTCCCGGTAACTTCATTCACCACGTCATCCGTCGTCAGAACCGTAATTGGATGAAACAACCTTCGACAGTTTCCAAACCGATAGCACGGATTAGCATCCCTTACAAGAAAGGGATAAGCGAGATGCTATCCCGACTGTTTGCAAAAGAACACGTCCTGGTTGCTCACAAACCAGTGTCGGATGCTTTCTACCTCGCCCTAAGAACAGACCACCGAAGGCGAAGGCCCAATTAAGGTGTCATTTATAAGGTCCCATGCTCCCAGTGCCATGCCTCTTACATCGGCGAAACAAAGAACTTTCACGACCAGCTTCGCCAACATAAGAACGATGTGAGAAACTTTGACAAAGAGCGCAGTGCTTTCGCTGAACACTGTGATAACCTCGACCACCGTATTGCATTTGAAAACGCAAGCATCCTGGACACGGCACCAAATCTACGTAGGAGGCGGCTCATTGAATCATGGCATATTCAACACACTTCAAACATCATCAATAGGTCACTAGGGACACTTCCTACGTTATATGTGAACGGCCTCCACAATGGGATAACGGATAGGGCACGACGAAGCTAACCCAACAACACCGACAAAGACAAAGTGATGTAACACCTAAAAGATGAAGAGACTGACATCCTTTATTCATCCCCTGAAGAAGAAACAAATAGTTTCGAAATGTTGGGACTATCTTTTTCCAGATCTTTTCCACATTTGGTTGGCAAATTCCTTTTTTCCTGATATTACTTCAAAGTGTGGAACTGCTTTGCTCATGACTGCAAGTTATCAGATTGTTTGGTCACACAGGACGGGAGAGAGACTTCAAAACTAATTTTAATTGCACTCCAGTTCGTAGAAAGAATAACACACAGAAGGACGAGACACAAACACAAACACTCACATACACAGGGACAGGACACGAACACAGGCACGCATACAATCTTTCTGATTTTATCTGTGTCTGTTTGTGTGTCTGTGTTTGTGTCCTGTCCCTGTGTATGTGAGTGTTTGTGTCTTGTCCTTCTGTGTGTTATTCTTTCTACGAACCGCAGCGCCTTTCACCAACATGCTCCCTTTGCTTCTAATTTTAATTGTCAGAGAGAGGCTAACAAAATTTGCACCATGTGTCTACTATGTTAGCCAACTGTTCTGGGCCGAAATAATTTTTGTCATTACATTGTGGTTCAGCCTCATCGACATCATCTGGGCAAAGCCTGACCAGAGTGGACGGTGCCCTGGAGGCGCCTTCAGGTTCCATTGAGGAACTCCCGGCAGGAGCTGGGATGACGTTGGGGGCCTCAAATTGTAAGTCCTCCAATTTTTACTGTATGCAACCAAGCACAACACCAGTCAGTGGTCCTTGTGTTAGCCTTTTTAATGTTTTATTTCCTAACACCGGCCTAACCAAAGGAGCTTTGACATGTGGTTTTTTTTATATATATATATATATATTTATATATATATATCCCTTGACGTCAGCCATCTTGATAGTGTCAAAATGAAAGTGTGAAGTATTAATGCTCAAGGTCTGAATATTTGGTGAGTAACAACTGGCCACAAGGTGGTGGGCACTCCAGCTTTTCTCCGGGTATTTTATACTCAGAAACCTGTAATCTAACTTGCGAAAGCAAGGGCCTGCCGGCCTGTTTAACCACTGTTATAGTAGACTTGTTTGCACTGGCTGTCCTAGTTTAAGTGTGCCGGGCTGGCATTTTGAACCTGTCGGCTGCAGTGCTGGGATATGGTTTCCAAATTAAGCTTAAGAGTTTAAGAATGTTGGAACATTCATATCTTTTATTCAGCATGATTCTACTAGGAGCCAAATGTGGGAATTACTAGCTAGTAATTAGCTTGTCAGCTTTGGACCTTATAGCGTAACCATCATTTATCTTTTTTTAATGCTTCAGCTGAATAGTGCATGAATAAGAGGTAATTGCTGTAATGTGTTTCCCACTGGCAGTGACACAGCTACCTTTTTTTTTACAGCTAATTTGTATAGTGTTTCCTAGTATAGCAGCCGTTGAGTTGTACTGTCAAAATAGCTGAAATAACTTTGCTGACTATGATTGCACCTCCTATGTTAGTTATGGTGCAACAAGGTTGCTGATCAGCTTATGAGACCAGCTCTACCCAATGCTATCTCCTTCACTCTGGGGACTTCTCAACATATTCCTTGCATTGGTGGAAAACTGATGTAATTTTTTGTCTACCATTTGTTGCATTGACATGATTGATGCACAGCTGATACAACCTGGCTGGTTTATGACGGCTTAATGCAGCCCTTTTTCATACAGCCATGTGCTTTCTTTTATGGTTCAAATATGAGATAATAAAGATCAAGGTTAAATATAATTGTTTGTTTTTTTGTATTTGCAGGCTCCTGCTATGCACACTGCAAAATATATATTTTATTTATGAATTTTTTCACACCATTTATACAATGGGCAAAGTGTGTGCAACCACGGTGTGTGAGTTGTGTACTCCAAAACTACCATCTGCAGGCAGCCTCAAATTTAGCACACACATAACAGTGCTTGTCTCTTAGCGAGTGCAGTCATAAACATATATATTTTTAGGTTCACGGCTCCTGATGATTTCTTTTATCAGTCAAGCCATTTTAATCTTTTGCTTTTAAAGAAGGGAAAGACTGGTGTCCGCTAGTGCTGCACAGCTTACTTTCCATAGGACCCAGGGCCAGAGCTTGATAATGCATTACTCACCCTAATTAATCTTCCATTTCAGGTCCAGAGCAGTCTCCAATAGTTAAGCTGGTGCTTGAGCTTCGGCTACAGAATGGGGAGATTTTGCGGCAGTTGGGGGCGATGCAGCAGGACATTAGAAACTTAAGTTTTAATTTATCGCAAATGAAGGCCTCAATGTCTGCTGCACCGCCTTCGCCGGAAATGGCTCCAGAGCCGTCGCGGGCGCCCCTTCCGAAGCTGCCCGCGGCGACTATGGAAGAATTCAGGGAATTGGAAAATGCCCTGAAGGATAAAGCTACAGCCACAGCCCTGGTATGTTGCACTTTCCTCCTTTCATATCATGATTTTTCCAACATGCACTGCAGTGCTTGTCGCTGGCTCATAATGTCGACTATCATACTCGGCCACTAAACGGGTGGACACTGCATTTGCTTTACTCAATGTTAATAAATGATAGCTTTCCAGTATGAAGAAAAATGAAAACTGGTTGTGTCGTCATAGCCGTGTTTCTGTGTTTGATTTGGTATTTGGTCATGCTTCTACATTTCCGTTGTCCCTTGTCTTTCACAGCAGCTGGAGGTGGCTACGTGGGTCAGGGCAACTGACACGGTTGCCGAGGCCTGCCGAAGCCTTCTGGAAAGGGCCCTCAAGAAGGAGGTCCAAATAAAATTTAGCCTCCTGGGCCGGAAAGGCAAGCTACCTTTCCGGGGGACCCTCCTCTGCCACATTGTGACAGGTATGATTATATTTGCTTAATTGATCAACACATTGATAGATCCTTGTTATTCGAGTTTGCTGAAGTGCATGCAACTGCTTGACTGTTATAGCATGTCACTTTCAAATCAAATCCTTTATTTGTGCCTGTGATGTAGCATATAGTACAGGCACTGGGAGGCAGACAAAAACCCAGCAGTTGTTGGCTTGACAAGGTTTGCACACTTGTTCACTCAGCAAGCAGCAAGGTGACAAATGTGATACAAAGAAAAATATAAGAGAAAAAGAATTGCACCAATAAACGTTAGTAAACACTATAAACTATTTGGGGATTAGTTTACAGAGCTTGAAACATGATTTGTCTCATCGAAGGGTGGTCACAGGTTCTATTTGTACTTTTTGTCATAATAATTGGTTTGGTGATGATGGGAGATGATGCTTTAATATTTGTGTGCAGTGGTTATAGTTCAATTATGAGGAACAGTCTATAGGCTACCATCACGTAGGTTACAGGCAGTAGTGATCTCAGTCAGGTGAGGTATGGAGGGTAATCTCAGTGTGTTAAATTTATTATACTTTAATTATGTACCATATGGTGCTAGAGAATATTCACATTGGCTAGTATTTGGAAGAAGGTTCATTGTATGAAAAAGATTTTTAGTCTTGAGTGTTATATTTTACATTTACAAAAATACACACAGCCTTTTTCTAAAGTAAGTTCGTTTTCAACAATGCTTCTAATCTGTTATAGCGTAACATATTTAGTTCAAAAGGCCTATTATAGTGCCTGAAAATTCTAGCTATGCCTGAATGCAGCATATACTCTATCTCACAAGTTGCATGCAGTGTAGTGCAACTGTAGCCCTTGTCAGCCAATCAAGAACATAAATGCACCAGTGTACATGTGTTCTTACACAGCGTATCAGTCTTCGCCTGCATTGTCTGGTCTCTGTAGAAGCCATTACAGGCAATTAAGTTATTCCTTACAGTCTGCCGAGTCATTCCATATGCCTGAATAGTTCATACTCTATAAATACAGCATAATCTCGATGATAGGGATTACCCGGGAACACGAAAAAATATTCATATAATCCTGAATTTGTTTAATCCAAGACAAGCTAACTTGTGTGTATACTTTGTCTGTGATGTTTGTTTGCACTCTTCTGCCCTTGTAGTTGCTCATAAGCCCCATCCAAAATGCATAAAGCTGCGCAGCGCTTTCTCGGCTCATTTTGCTGGCACTTATGGTGCAGCATGGAACATCAAGAGCGTTAAAGGCCGACTTACGAAACCATTTTCCGCAGGGTAGGAAAGTGCTCCCCAACGACCTTCGCTCCCTCCCCTCTCGCACTCCTTCCTCCTCCTCCCCCGAAAAGGGCGGGTCCGAAAGCTAGTCTCCGTGGAAAGGAAAGGGGTTTCCTCCTTTTTTGGGTGGCAAGGAGGAAACCCCTTCTCCCGCGGAAAATGGTTTTGTAGGTCGGCCTTTCAGTGTTTCTACCATCGACGACACAGCTTTGTTGGGCATGTGAGTTAACCTTGGCTCGTTGGGCTGTGAGCCAGGCATGCTGCCGCTTGGCCAGCATAGACTGGAGGTGGAGAGGGGGCCAGCGGCAACTGTGCGTACTCTCTTCCCCTCTATGACCAGCTGCGCCCACCCACTCGTTTCGCATGCACCGATGGTTCACGTGCTCATATCACCCGGGACGACTTGAGTACTGTTTGTATCATCCTGAATGGCAATATATTCAATATTGCCCGGACCATCTTTAAATTCACGTGACCCTGAAATTCCGGTCAATCGTTATTGTATCATCGACATTTGACTCTGTGCAATCTGAGCCGTACCGGAACTTGTAACCGCATTGGGTACTCCTCCACCTCGTCGCACCTTGCAGCTCCACACTGCACACAACTACTGAGACAGAGTATAGCTGTGCAGTGCTGATGGGAACCTCTTCTTAGAATAGAAGTGTGGTCATTAGTATAGTAATCAGTAAAAGAGAGGAGCATGTTGCTTCTCTGTACCTAGCTCTTGACCTGACATCTGTATTTTAATTACTACTGCTCTGGATAGAGATTTAACCCTGGTTGGATCCAATTTCCTGATCCTAAGACTATTCTAAGTATCAGCGGCAACCATTATGCCTTGATGTTTAATGCAGAACGTTTAAAATTTCCACTTTCAGAGACCATCAAGAGTGCGAAGGCTGCCAATGTGCCAGATGTCGAAAAGGCCATTGGCAAGTACCTGGCCGGTGCTGTGGACCGGGAGGGGGGCAGGCGCCAGAGGTTTTGCCGCCAAACAGAGGCCAGTCAACTGCCAACTGGCGATGTGTGAAGTGCAAAAAAAAATAGCACAGAAAGTTGTTTTCAAAATAAATTTTTAGCAAAGAAATTATTTTGTTCATTTGCATGGCAAACTAAAATGCACGCAATATTTTCTGATGGTAAAATTATATATTTTTAGCCTGCATGTTGCAAAGAAAATCTTCAGTGTTATCAATACAAGAGAGCTAAAACTATTATCTGTTGTTGCAGTTGTACATTATATTGCCAAATATCGGGAAGAGCCTGGCGGCAAAGGGTTACCAGTGCAAGTGTGGTAAACTGCTCAACCATGGTGCCAGGAGAAAGGCACGCCCAATATTTGTAGTAGCTTGGCGAAAAAGGCCTTCGGACATTTGGCTGCCGTTCCGACAGAGATTGGCAGCCAATTTTAACGTGGTTGGCAAAACCTATCTAGGCTAAAAGGGCAGTGCCGTTATGCCCAATATTGGCTGAAAATGGGCGAGCGGAGTGGTCCAATATTGGCTGAAAATGGGCAAATAGAGTGGTCCAATATTGGCTGAAAATGGGCAAACAGAATGGTCCAATATTGGCTGAAAATGGGGAAATAGAGTGGTCCAATATTGGCTGAAAAGTGGCAAACAGAATGGTCCAATATTGGCTGAAAATTGGCAAACAGAGTGGCCCAATATTGGCAGGCTAGCTGGCCCAATATAGCGCCTGGTAGCGTTTGCCAATATTGCCCAATATTGGTGCCAGCGTGAGCCGATATAGGACCGTCATTGGACCAATATTGGGGTGCCACTTGGGTAGGATGTCCCATATTACGGTTACGCTTGTATGAGCCTTTTCCATCATCTTTCCATCATCGATATTTTCAATAGGGTATAGATATGTGCGCCGTAACAAACCTTTAGCGTACTTGCCGTGGAGGTAAATAAAACTCAATTTATAACTGGAATGCCTGCTTGACATGTTTATTTGAGATATTCTTGACTCACATACTTTTCTGTTTTGGTCCTGACGTGGAACCGAAACCAAACCTCATAGCGAAACATTTTTTCCAGTCACTCAAGAAAAACAGACATCTACATTTAAAGAGATGCACTCGCCAAATTCTTAATTGGAAAGATATTTAACGATAACCGATGTATTATAGGGGGGGCATCAGGGAGAGTAGCCCCAAATACCGGTGTCCATCTTCTTCCCTGTCTTCAGGCCTTTTACTTTGAGATTGTACAACCATCTAGCCCAACTTGCAGTCGAATATAAATGGATTTCTTAACTTTAAGTATTCCACAATGACATTTCAGTTTCGCGGTCAGCCTGAAGTTGAAAACGTTCATTATCTTTTTTTTGCTGTACGATATATGACACAATCATGCGCTTATAAAAGGATGCTTGATGTTGTGAGCTGAGTTAAATCATTTATATAAAACAAGTAGACAAAGGATTCATATACAGACCCTTGGAGGACGCCTCACGGCACCGCCGCACACGGTGAATTAACACTATTAACAACTACACCTTCGGTGAGCTAAGATGATTAACAATTGATCTATTCTTCAAGGTTGTCAGGGAAAGCAAAACATGCGATGTGAGCGTATAGAAGTTAATTGAGTTCATTTTAAAATGCTTTCGGATAATAAAAAAAGAGGGTTGGCCCGTATATTTGCGTTTAATGAAAACGAAATGTCATATGCAATTTTTACTGGCAGTTTGCTGCACCGGAATCCACAACGTAATCCATGCTTGTAAGGGGTATAGATTTTATTTAACTCAAGGTGGCTATAAATATTCGTATGTACGCGTTCAAGAAATTTAAAAGAGCTCTGTTCAGAGACATTAGCCTCGGGTTAGAAACATCTGGTCAATCCCGTCCTTATCGCTATGTACAGCATTGGCTGCCCCTTACTCAGGTGGAAGCCCTTTTGAAGAGAAATATTTTAAATAAAATAGCTAGGCAGCGTTTAATCCCTGAAGCACATGGTTTGGAATTCCATCAAGTATTGTGACTGAATGACATTTCAAATAAATAAATAATGTGTATTTTTCTTTTTTTACAAAGAAGGAAGATAGGGCAAAATCTGGATGGTTTGCAGCTTGACGAGGCCCTACCCCGCGTAGCAAAGCAGCAGAGACATGTCCAACTGGGCTAGCAAAAAACGAGGTACTACACCTTATTGCATCGATTGTCTACAAAAAAGTCGTTATCACTGTTTTCCAATAGCATGTCACGTAGCATATGCTTTGATTTTTTAGTAATTTCAAAATTTTCACCTTCGAGCTCATTTAAAAGCGACGATAGTGTATGTTTTAAAGAAGGTAGTTCATAGTTCGTGCGGGAAGTAGTAACACGCCAGGGCCCTAGCTGTGTCTAGTTTCATACGTCTGGGTTTTAGAGCGCAGCTCTTAGGGGCCCGTTCCCGGCTTGAGCGGCGTCGGCGTCGGCGTCGCCGTTGGCGTAACCAAGGTCACCCTATGGTCACGCGACCCACAAGGTCATCCCAAGGTCACGTGAGCCCCAAGGTCACCCCAAGGTCACGTGACCCCCAAGGTCACGTAACACCCAAAGTCACGCGACCCCCCGAGGTCACGTGACCCCCCAGGTCGCGTGACCCCCCGAAGTCACGTGACACCCCCCCCCCGAGGTCACGTGACCTCCCCGATGACGTCATCGTCACTGATGACGTCACCGACATCCGCATCGTCATCGTCATCATCGCTGTAGACGTCATCGGAGTCCGCATCGTCATCGTCACTGATGACGTCATTAGTGACGTCACTGATGACATCATCGTCATCGTCACGTGACCCCCCAAGGTCACGTGACCCCCCCCAGGTGACTTCACCCCCCAGTACCCTTCGCTCCTCCTCCTCAAGAGCTGCGCTCTAATTCGGTGTTACAGGGAGTTGCAAACGGCTTCCACTTTTTTCTCTCCAAGCCCGACAGTACAGAAAAAAAGTGTTTATTTTGTTTTACTGCCGTATCGTAGACTCCCATCAAACGATAGTTGTACAAATGATTAATTGTCACATCTTCATGTTTACCAAACAGCTCCTCAGAAGAATGCAAAAAAAAACATTTTCAATTATGCAAAATTCTTTCTTTTGTGTTAGTAGCAGTGTTCTTAAGTTTTGTTTGGTTGTGGTTCCCCAAACCAGGTGAGAGTACACGTTATTTGTGTAGATCAGAGAGCAATACAAGAGCAACTTCACTCGCGTGAGAAACATAAAACGAGTGTTAGATATTATTCCTATGGCTTTGCAAACTTTCCGGTGGATATACTCAACGTGTTCAGAACAAGAGAGTGATTCAATAAAAATGCCACAAAGAATTTTAACAGATTTTGCGACTTCTAATGGAGATAAATTCATCGTGATATTTAAAGGCAAAGACTTTTTACGATTCCGTGGTTTAGACAGTACGCATTTAGTTTTGTCTGTGTTAATTTTTAGTCCATTAACTTGCGTCCATAAGTATAGATTTTGAAGAACAACTGCCGCCGTACTTTCGATCTCAGAAGTTGTTTCACGTTTAATAAAAAGAGTGGTATCATCTGCATATGAAATGAACATGACGTTTGGTGGGCATGGTTCGATAACGTTTATAAATAATATAAACAAGTTCGGCCCAAGTACACCCCCTGGGGGACTACAGTCACAATTCCTTTGGTTGCTGAATTTTACGTATTTATGCAAAACAAACTGCGTACGATATTCCAAATATTATTTAAACCGTTTAAATCCAGTTTCTCGGATGCGATATTGTTCTAACTTTTCAATTAGGATGTCATACTTTTTTAAATCAAATACGTAAGAAAAGTAAACATACACACATAGAATAAGATCTTTATCCGCAATAGATTTTAGTATTTCTTCCTTTTGCATTAACAGCGATGTTTCAGGTGAACGCTTCTTCCTAAGACCGTGTTGAAAATCGGAGACTGTGATTTTTCTCTAGATAACAAGGAAGTCTGTGATGCCTTGTTTTTTCAATACCCTTAGAAAAGATTGGTAACAAGGAAATCGGTCTATAATTTTTAGATGTGTTCTTATCGACGCCTTTGAATATAAGCAGAACTTTCGCAACCTGCATAGCCTTTGGTAAGCAACCAGTTGAAAGTGACACGTTAAATATATACGTTAATACAGGCGCGATTATCTCAATTTCATACTTGATTACTTTGATGTCAAAGTCGTTAACGTCGTGACTCTTGCCATTTCTTAAGTTGCTGAACAAAGCACCGACCTCATTTACATCTGCCGGATATAAAGTGGAAGTATTTGTAAAATAACGTTTTATATAACCACAAGGGCAGAGCTCAATTTCCAGCACCGCAACGTTGTCTGCTTTGCTAACAAAGTAATTATTAAAAGCACTCGGCAGAGAACACCCAGAGAGAGTACCCTCTTCGCAGGTTACTTCACCTACATTATGTTCATTCGTATACGGATTAATTGCGCTATTCATTCTTTTCCAGAGTATTCCTGGCTCTTCATTATCATCTTTTTTTGAAGAGGTTTATATAATAACTATTATTTGAAGGTATCAGTAGTTTAACAAGTTTATTTCGATACGTCTTAAAGCCTTTAAATCATCAGGGTTTTTTGTTTTCAAGAAATGCTGAAACAGAATCTTTTTTTCATCTATATTATTCAAAAGCTCCCTTGCCATTTAAGGCTTGCGAATTCTTTTACGCTGCTTAACTGTCCTTTATGGGAAACTCTCCTTGTACAGATTTTGAAATGTCGGTAGAAAGGTTTCGTACACGAGGTTTGCGTTTGTTTTCAAATATACTTGTTCCAAGTCAGTTCTGTTTAACGATGCTTTAAAGTTTTCTGGAGTAGTGTTCGTTATGTTTTGAATTTGAAAATTACGCTGCGCTCAACGTTTCTTAGGTTTATGAGGTTCGTGTATCAACATAAATATCGCCAGATGATCACTGATATCGGTACTAACAGCGTTAGTGGTGATGAAGGACGCGTCATGGATGCCAGTAAAAAAATCAGTGAGTGTGGACGTAGTACATGTAATTCTTCTTGCTCCTGTTGCTCTAA